AGCACAACACTTAAGCCACTACACAAAAGACTTCAGTGCTGTTACAGAGAATAGCAGTGATGTTTCCTGTGTGCAGTGGTAAAATACCCGACACCCCACCCCCAGTCTTAAAACAGCAGTCCTAAATGAGAGCCTGAAAAACAGACCAAAGGCAAATCCAAGAGAGGGAAGCCCCTCAGGCCTTTTGGTACAGCTCTGCTGATTCAGTCGTTTTCACTACAGGAAGCAATCAGCTGAACAGGTTTACTGACATACACCTGCATACATTCCCACATATATAGCAACAGCTTGGAACAAGCTTGTGTCTTTACTTTTACTGTTTTCCACACAGTTAAGATATCAAACTATGCATTAACTGACACACATGGAATCACTCCAATCGTAAGCATCGCTTCTACCAAACAGGGTTATTTAGACCCTCCCTACCCTGTCACAACACATCTGATGGGCTGAAAAGCATAAATGAGGACAGACATTTCAAAAATTAATTTACACAAGACAAATAAAGTAATTAGGTTGGTACAGTGATTATGGTCCAACATTTTTCACTAAATTTGTACATGGCAGCCGCTTTGTTACAGAGCAGTTAAATATATGTTATATGTAAAAGTTTGGGCACCTCTGGTCAAATCATTTATTGCTAACATGATTAATAAACTCTTAAAGCTTTATCAGTAACACATCAACAACATCAGTGAAGTAGCAGTGGTGAAGCATCTGAATACACCGAGGTAAATATCTTGTAGATGTTCAGTTGATACATTACTTACATTAAGTAGATGTGTTGTTAATCTTCCATTACGCAAAACCTAATCCTAACCCTGGCCCTAATCCTAACCCCAACCTTAACCTCAACCCAAAACGCTCATATGTTCATGTAAATTTAATCTAAAAAGGACCACTCAAAATACCACTCACCTATTTATTTTCACTTAAACCAAAACATAGGTGCAAAAAAGAAGTACAAAACATCTACAAGAACATTTATATTTTGTTTTATTTTTACAATCTGTTAAACGTAGCACATAAATAGAAATTGGGCAGTAAAATGTGAAAAAAAATCAAAAATACCATATTTAAGCTTCTTGAACAGGATGTGTTAACTTATTTCCACTAAGAAAATCAAAATATGTATTTGGATGGAGGGTATATCAACTTTTGCCACTGGAAAGGTCTTTATTACATTTTTTTGTTTTTTAAATAAATTTGGTACATAGGCATCAACATTACTATTTACAGTTACAAATAAAAATAAAAATACTCAAAATACTAAATGATTGGTCAGTATATTCTCTGTACAGCATCACCACTGCTCCTGGAGATTTATTATCCCATGAAGTCCAGCTCCTACCACGATCTGCCACACCTGCTGCAGGTAATAAACTCTGCAGGACAGTAGAGCTGGTGTCCATATCCATAAACAGACTGGTTTTGTTACAATGACTTTAAGACCGATATTTGTGAATGAGCTCTGTTCTGATTGACTGTTCTGTATTGTGGCTAATTCAAAAAGTAGTGCAGGCTGAAACACTTCTTATAGCTTCAACATGAATGGGCGGGGCTAAATGGCTGAATAGGCGGATATCAGTACATGTCTAGGTTTTCTTGTTATCACAAAAAACAGTACACTCAAAATGGGCTATATTTGGCCATTTTTTCCCAAATGAGGTCTAAATGGTAAAATATAAACTTTAACATTCTTTATAAATGGCTTAAGCTCCTTCAATGACTTGTCCAAATGACATAAATTTACATCTTACTTGTCTGAACGTTTAGACATTAACGTTTGTCCTTGACAACTGAAAGTTTGTGTTGCAAATCCAGCAGTTTTAGTAGAAATGCTGGAGTAAGTGGCTTCATATAGTGTACAAAATTACTTCACAAGCTGTTTATGCAGCCAATATTTTCCATAAATTGACCATATGGACTGGGAGGTGAACCATACATTCTTTTCATAAACTTTCCATAAACAGCTTTCAGCTCAAAAAAGAAAAAAATTTGGTTTTCAACAATATAAGCCATTTCAATGTAACATTCCTAGAAGGTGAGTCAAAACACATTCAGCACTGACTATCACTAATGTCACAATTGACGTTGCTACTGAGTTCCCACCCAAAACATGTCTGAACGCAGCTTGTCTCACAGAGAACATCAACGTCACCTTTGCGCTGAGGGAAAACATGCAAATCCATAGTTTGTCTAATTATGAGAACAGAGAGATAACCAAAGAGTGCCAGGCCAGGTACTGTGATCTGCTGGCACTGGGACTTGGCTCTGGGGTGAAATTCGTTTGGAGGGGGTTGGAGAGCGAGAGAGAGAGATAGAACGAGGGAATCAGGGAATGGCAGACCGATCGAGGGAGGGGGCAGACGAGTGAAAGGCCCGGCTGTTCTCCTGCTGTGATCCCTAAATGAAGCATGAAGAACACCGGCTCAGTCACAATGAAAGGTTTTCGTGAAAGAGAGAGAGGAGAGGCCAGAGCTGCGTCACATTTCAAACCGGAACAGAAAGTGGAAGAGGAGGACGAGGCCTTCATCACAGTGCAACACACAACCAAATATCTGTTAACTTTGTTCGTTTTCATAAATCTTCAGTGCAGAAACGTCTTGAATTTGCATGAAAATTAAGGTCAACCTACATTATGTCCAAAAGTTTGTAGACACCTGCTCATTCAACATGTCTTCTGAAATCAATGCTATTAATAGGGAGTTTGCCTCCCTTTGCTGCAATAACAGCCTCTACTCTTCTGCTTTATGTTCAATGTTGGTACACTGCAGTAAAGATTTGATTGCATTCAGCCACAAGAGCATCATGAGGTCAGGTATTGATGCCGGATGATTAGCTATGGACACTCCAACTCATCCAAAAGGTCCTGCAGCTCTATTTTTCCAGAAAACACAGTTCCACTGCTCCATAGCCCAATGCTAGGGGGCTTTATACCCCTTTAGCCAAAGCTTTGCATTGGGCACAGTGACCTCAGGCTACAGAGCATCCCATTCCATTGACAATTCTTTTCTGTGGAGTTTATACAGACTGTGTGAGCAATGCACCTTAATGCAGCTGTATTCCCTAATAAGAAGGGCTGTCTGGATACTTTTGGACACAGAATGTATTTTGTCAGAAGAATCAAGGCGGTCCTGACTTTGTGAAGTAGTTTTTACAAACGTTCCATGTTTCATTTATTTTTAACTCAAAGAATAAACCCCTTTATTTTTGGTCACTCAGGTTATGGTTCAGGACTAGGCTTCGAATATTATTATTACGTACTGATACAGGGGACATACATACCAGATTCTGATTAAACAAACCCTTATTTCTGTGTGACGTCCTTTGTGAGAACACATCAGTTGGTTCATATTTGTCTAATGAGTACACATCCTTTGCTTAGTCATGAGAAAAGCTGTCTTAGTCATTAAACACTGATCTGCTTGAATGGCACTGCTGAGCCTTTCCATGTAAAAAGCTTGTTTTCAATCTCCTGACTATACTCAGTTGGAATTAGTCAGAAAACGAGCTTTAGATTCATTTCACTTCAGGTCTGACTGTACCACAACACCTTTGGGGCAAAGCAACAAAGTGAATGATTTGTATCAAAGTGCCAGATATTTCATGTCACAGCATGCCTGATGTCCTCATTCTCTTTCCTTCATCTCTAACTCTTTGATTTATACTCTCACTGAAGTAAAATATCATCCCTTGTCTACGGCCGGATGACTAAGACTAGATACTGCCTTTCTTGGAGGTCACTGTTGATTATATTAGATTATATAACTGAGTAATCTGGCAATTATTTGTATGGTTAATTGAGTGATGAGAGTTTTTAAATAGGCTGCAACAAAAATGGACTTATAGTGAATAATAACAAACCCTGAAGAGCCTTTCAAAGACTCCAATACATTTCGTGAAAGTTCTTAAAGTATCACAATAGTATATTTTGTGTATATATATATATATATATATATATATATATATATATATATATATATATATATATATATATACATATATATACACACACACACACACACGTGTGTATTGCATGCTTCATACAAATGCGAACAAGTCATTGCAGATTCTTCGAGAAGGTACATTTTATTGGAAAGTTTTTTTTAAGACAAATAATCGAGTTTAATCAACTTGCTGAAATAAATACATATGTGCTTCAAAATGTATTTCTGGCTGTGACAGAGAACAGAAATACAATTAAAATGTATATTATCTTCATGCAATTTGCCAACGAAACACTGAGGAGTCTTCAAGAAGTCAAATTAATCGATGACTGTTTACTCGAATAAACGACTTTAATCGAGTAGGCGCGACTTTACAGCTACAGTGCTCCTGGCAAAACTCGTCAAGTACAATATGAACAAACTCTACAGACTAAATGACTAGTCTGAGACAAATTCCTCTCCGTCAGCTCCCTCCACACACCCTGTTTATCTGCCAAATCCCCGTCGTCTCTACAGCAATTATGGGCTCAAAGTATGTGTGTTTTTCCGCATATGGACCCACAGACGCGCCTCGTTATGGAATTAAAATAGAGCACATTCACTCAGACATTGTCTGAGAACATGAAATATGTTTATATTAAACATTTTAGACCAATTTCACCAGAATTTGAAGACGCCATTTACTGGTGAATCGTGTTTTGTCTTTTTCTGGCTGCTGTGGTAAAAACCGCTGTGTTTACAACGCGCGTGCACGTGAGGGCTGAGAGAGAAAGACAGAAAGGGCGCGAAAAAGGTCAGTTTTCTTCACTATTTTGCTGAAAAATGTACTTTTGTAGATGTTAGTTCCTCATATGGGCCATTTTCATTCGTCTTCTGAAGAAAGTCCATGTTCTGGGCTCTAAATGTGGGCGCTGTGTCGATGTTCAGCCTCTCCGCTGAATGAATGAGGACGAGTCGGTAAGTTTTCATGAGGACTGAGAAACTTCTCGAAAGTTCTCAGAGTTTCTGAGTGAAAGTCAATGTGGGTGTAGTAGTAAAAGCCTTTCTTACCTGTGTTAGAACCCGGGCTTGGTCAGCTCTTCAGCACCTTCAAACTTTCTCCACGAACTGTGTGGGAATTAAATGCGCTCCTCGCGCCTTCTTGAGTGTGTGTGTGTGTGTCACTAAATGCCCCCCCTCTAAGACACCGCCCTTGTGCCCTCCTTTAACCGACGTCATCCACCGTCAGAGTGAATGGAGACACCCAACTTTGAAGCTGGTGTACTAACTTTTACACAACCTGAAGAAACGTCCCCAACTCTGTCCGTCCTCTGAAGCTGAACTTCAGTGAGAAGCTTTCGCTCAGGGTCGGTCTCTGCTCTGGACAAACATAGGCAGACCCCCTACACTCTTACAAAGACAGTTCTACAACCCTGCTACAGAAACCAGTATTGACCAGCATGGCTGGTCACCAACAAAAACCATGGATGCTGGTATGCTGGTCAGCAGCAATGGAAGTCGATAAACTGACCACCACCAAAACCAGCGTATGTTGTGTTATGGATGCTGGTATACTGGTCAGCAGCACCACCAAAATCGGCATATGTTGTGTCATGGATGCTGGTATACTGGTCAGCAGCACCACCAAAACCAGCGTATGTTGTGTTATGGATGCTGGTATACTGGTCAGCAGCACCACCAAAACCAGCGTATGTTGTGTTATGGATGCTGGTATACTGGTCAGCAGCACCACCAAAACCAGCGTATGTTGTGTTATGGATGCTGGTATACTGGTCAGCAGCACCACCAAAACCAGCGTATGTTGTATTGTGGATGCTGGTATACTGGTCAGCTGCAGCAGAAGTTGATAAGTCGATCACCACCAAAACGAAATGGCTGTATTTAGAACCATGAGTTCTATATAGAACCATTTCAGGCTTCAATGGTTCTTTACATGGTGAAATGGTTGTTCAGATTGATAGAGAATGTGTTGTACATGGTTCTATATATAACCTTTTTGAATATGGCATTGTTACTATAGAGGAACCCTTGTAGAACCATTTTTAAGAGTGTAGGACGCCCATAAGACAAGGGCCCCATGAAAATAGCACCCCCCTGACCCAGGAGGATGTGTGTGTGTGTGATGTTGAATAACCTATTCCCAGGGGTGGCACCACACCTTCAAAAGTGGTGGGGCAAAACTTGTTTCAAGTTTGTTTAAAAAAAAAAAACACTGGCTGAATGACAAAATACAACTGACTGACTGACTAGAACTACCTTTCATGCCAGCTAATAACACGTCTCTACCAACCTATTCATGAACAGTGTCAAAGTTCATTTTGGCCCATTTTGCACTTCACTGGCTTCAGCCTCAGACAGCAAACTTTGCTAGTTAACATCTCTGAAAAAACATCAGGCTGTTTTGTCTCTGTTTAGTCTGAATTTTTGCAGGGATACAATCGCTTTATTACTATCACCATTATTTGCCACCATGAAAATAGCAAAATAGAAAATAAAAACACGTATCGTCCATGTGTATCACAAACAAAGCAATAATAATAAACTTTGATACTTGATATCTGCTTCTTTATGTTTGGTTTACCAAATTGAATTTGACCAATCACGTTGCTGATGCTTGGTCAAAAATGCTCCATGTGACGAAATCAAAAGCGTATCCTTGCTATTATTTTATTGCTTCTGCTACACTCCCAGAGCTAACTCTGTTTAGTCTGTAGAGAGTGCTGAACAGGTTAAACTTAATGCTAACAATAATGGGCAAGTCACTAATTATTTCTCCCAAACTGTAATGGGATCACTTTACTGACTACTTCCTGTAAAAACTAATGTCAATACTCATTACTCTATGTTACTCTGTAACAAACTATCTCAATATTTTGGCAGATCATATTGCTTGTTTGTACTATTACCTCCTAAACTAGCCAAATTATCTGCCACTATTGTGCTAAAATTTGACTTAATAAAATGACTTAAGTAAAAATGTCTCAGAATAAGTTAAATAATCTTATAATATTCATTCAACAGTCTTAACATGAGAAATAATAGATATATCTACTAGATTTAAGGTCATATCACTTACCAAGATGTCATGTTTTGCAGTGTAGATGGTTGCATCAGAAACCCAGAGGCCTGACTTACTTTTGGCAGTGATGTAATACTGTATTAAACTGGAAATTATGTAGAGTAATTTGGGGAAAGAAGCCCCTCAGCATAAGATGACCTTCCCACCTTATACAAATCCACACATTTACTGGGTTTGTTCAGAGAACAATACTTTTGGTTTTGAAAGTTGAAAAATAGTTTGTTCTATTGAAGTGAAGTATAAGTTAGACCAGGGGTCAGCAACATGCGGCTCAGGGGTCCAAAGCCGCACGTGGCTCTTTTACTGTGCTGTTGCTGCTCCACAGCAGAATTAGATTTTTAGGTAAAAATAAAATAATTCTCCTTTGCAATAAAGTAAAGCTCTGCTGATCGTTCTAACACAGTTTTAACAATAAATGATCTTAAATGTTTGGAATAATGTAGCCTATAACTGCTAATTCACCCTTTAACCCTGGAACACAGAAAACAATCTCACCTAGCTAGTAGCTAACGAAAAGGCAAAGAGAAAGATTTAAGATGGACATCAATGATTTGAAGATGAATAGACTTATTTGCATTTATATTCACTCCAGCTGGTTTCCTGATACGTTTAATCTGCAATGAGAAACTGTCAAACGCTAAAAAGTTGCAAAGTTGAAATCAGCTTCTTGTTCGAATTTTCCCGTTCCACCTTAAATGCTGCAGCAGTTTTATTCTGGCACCTCAGGCACCATTTAAGGTGGAACGGGAAAATTCGAACAAGAAGCTGGCGAAAGAGAAGCGACTTCAGCCTCGGAAATACTCAAACGTTGACAGACATTTTACAAGAAACGGTTCTACTTTTGTTTCCTGCTGGAGATGTGAGAAAAGTGGCTGTAGCTGAGCTAAAGCTTAAAGCAGAGCAAAGTAAGTCTGTGTTTTCATTTATATTATACTTTTTAGCCTTTACTACGATATTAGCACATACTGAGACATATTTACAGCCAAGAGGGTAAAGTGGACATAAAATATTGTGGCTCCCAAAGTAGTTTGATTTTACTGAAAGGACAAAATGGCTCTTCTTAACATTTGGGTTGCCGACCCCTGAGTTAGATCCTTGAAGCAAAAACTTTCCCAGACAAGCGGTGAAAGACCCACTTGTTCCACTAGCTAGCTAGCATTAGCATTACATGATAGATAGGTATGTGGTACATGATTGTTGGTGAAAATTTTTAGCCAGCTTGCTGGAGATAAGTTTACATGTGAGTTTTGCATTTAGACACACTTACATTCACATGTGATATTTTGTAATGTGTGATACTACTACTACTACTACTACTACTACTAATAATAATAATAATAATAATAATAATAAATTAAAATAACATTAAATGAATTTACATTACATGTTTAATCATTGATATAATCACAGTAGTTGAATTAATCTACAAAACTGACATTTCAAGTGTGTCTATCTTACTTTGCTTTTTGTCATAGTTTAATAAAAGTGGAAACATTAAGACAAACTGATCAGGCTTCAATTTCATTTTAAAATATAATGTTTTAGTGCTGTGCTTTGATTAACCACACAATTTGTGAAAAATGCAAAGACTAGACGTGATTTGACACAATAATTATACATTCTGTTAAAATTAGGTAACAAATTGATGCAAGATTCGCTTATCTCACACTTCTGACCTTGATAAAGAGGCAAGATGGCCCTTCTAAAAGGTTTTCTTTGTGCTATAAAAACAAAATTGAATACTGTTACTGTTTCTTTCTCCTAACTGGGTTTATGCATCGCCATCTTGTGCATAGTAAACTCAAGCACAGATATGCTTTAGCTTTAAAATAAGTGGATACTGTTCTTAAGGGGGGACAATGCCCCACCATTTTCCCCTGCACGTTTAAATCAAGTCTCTTCACTACTTTGCTTTTTGACCTACTGATATGCCGATTAGCTTTTATCTTCTAGTCTTCTGAGCCTAATGCGCAACATCTTGAACGCTTTTATGCAAGAAAATAACATGATTCAACTTAAGGTTCACACTTGAGGGCTTTAGTGGAAACAGAACACAGATAACAGCCAGATACTACAAACAGAAGATGATTGGATTTAGACAGAATATAAAGTAAATCCAGGAGGAAAGTAATTTGTTTGACTGAAAGCAAATTCTGTTAAATGACGAACTGAGATAGTTTCTTAGTTTTAAATATGTAACGTCCATTGCGGTTAGTCCATTAGTCCATCTACAGGATACATCTGACTGATGGACAGGTCAAAAGTCTTTGTCCCAATCCGAATCATCAACTGGTGATAAATCTGTGTGGTTCTCACTGCTTGAACTGTCTGCCCCTCGATCCAGAAGACTGTGGACCTGCAATGAAAGAAAACAGCAGGTTGACTTGGGTGATGCAATAGCAAACCAACTTGTGGTTAAAAAAAGAGAAAAATGCTAATTCAAAATTCATCAGAAGGTTTTCCTGTTGAATTTTAAAGATGTTGAGACAGACGTGATGTGAACAGGAAAGATCCTTACATTTGGTACTATCGGTGGAGCGTGTGAGCCGTCGCGCAGGCCCAACCAATCAAATCCTTCAAACCACCTGTGTAAAAGATTTTAAACACAAAATAAATAGACATATTTACACATACTACATATATTTGTGCAAAAAAGCGTAACATGTGCTGAAAAATGTCTTCAGTTCTCTCTTCTTTTCCAAGCATAAAACAACGACTTAGTTTTGCCCCTCTCTGAGTGCTCACTTGTGTCCACGGATGTCCTTGACCCCATTCCTCTGGCCCAGTCTCTCAGTGGGGTTCTCTCTGGAAGGGGGATGATAAATGACAGTAGGATCAGACACACAGACCCTCATAATGAAGTAGGGCTCAGCTAGTCTAAGAGATGAGACACTGAGCATGTGTGTGTGTGCACTCTAAGATGGATACATGAATAAACTGAGCTAGGTTTTTGTAAGTGAATGGATTTGGTGGTAAGTTGGCACAGTGACTTTAGTAAATATGAACATTCACACATAATCAAAATATTCCACAGGAGACAGACCTGCATTCTGACTGTCTGCGTATCTGAGCAGCAAAATCAGTTTAATATTCTTACTAAAGGAACAGATTGGAATCAAATGTACACACCTTTCCCCTTATCTCAAATGTAGCTGATCAGCCAAGACATTTTTAGTACCCAAGACCAAGTCCTAGTCTGTGATTAGTCGAGATTGAGTCTCAAGGGCCAAGACCAGGTCTAGACTGAGACCTCGAAAAAGTTCTCTTTGAGAGAAGTAAACCTTAATTCAGGGGTCGGCAACATGCAATTCCGGAGCCGCATGCAGCTCTTTTACTGCCCTGTTGCGGCTCCGCAGCAGAATTAGATTTTTAGGGGAAAAAAAACTCCTTTGCAGTAAAATAAAGCTCTGCTGATCATTCAACACAGTTATAACAATAAATGGTCTTAAACACTGGAGTTGCTAATTCACCAACCTTTAACCCTGAGATTGGTGAACCTTCACCATAGCAACACAGACAACAGTCTCACCTAGCTAGTAGCTAACGAAACGGCAAAGACAGAGATTTAAGATAAACATTGATAATTTGGAGACAAACAGAGATATCAAACAATAAAAAGTTGTGAAGCTAAAGTCAGTTTCCCGTTTGCCAGCTCCTCGTTCAAATTGTTCCGTTCCACCTTAAATGTTGGAGCGATTACAATCTGGCACCTCAGACCATTTAAGGTGGAACGGGAAAATCCGAACAAAAAGCTGTCAAATAAGAAGCTGACTTCAGCCTCATAAAAAGTCAAAAGTTGCATTGATTTTACAAGAAACTATTCTACTTTTGTGGAAAAGGTTCCTGCTGGAGATGCAAGAAAAGCAGCTACAGCTGAGCTAAAGCTGAAAGCAGAGCAAAGCGAGTCTGCGGTTTCATTTATATTTTTAGTCTACACTAGAACATTGGCACATACTGAGACATATTTACAGTCAAGATGGTAGAACATTACTTGAGTAAATGTACATTAAACATTGTGGCTCCCAAGGCAAATTGATTTTTGTTGGAAGGACAAAGTGGCTCTTCTTCACATTTGGGTTGCGACCCCTGCCTTAGCTAGTCTAGCTGCTTCTGGTGCAATGAAATGAACACAAGGAGACATAATGATTTTGTCAGTTGATTTTGAGTCGTTGCGCATTGACAGTTAAATGAAAAAAATACCGAAAAAATAAATATTTTTAAATGGTAGTTGACCTCAGTTGAGACCAGAGACCAAATCTGGCTAAAAAAGTGGCCTAGACAAGTCCGAGTACAATTATTATTGAGTCCAACACAAGTCCGAGACAATGGTGCTGTACAATATATACCGGTATTCAAAGAGTGAAATACAGGGGTGTCCTGGGTGGCTAATTAACCTCTTAGACCCCTTGAATGTCCCAAAATTCGTTAGGAAAAAATAATACAAATTCAGGGAAAGGTCATTGTTTAGCTGCTTCACCTACAATAATCGGGCTTCTGTCTTTGGTATTCTTAACTAACTAGAGATGCAGCACTCGTCTGCCTCAGGGTGGCAAACTGGTTCACCCAGTTGTTTCTTCATCACCTACAACTGTAACTGTGGCTGGGATACTTATGAAAAAATAACAGTCTGACACAGCATATTTGTAAATCTATATTTTTGTAATCTATAGTAAATCTAGAGTTTGGAGGAAAAAGTGCATTGTTACTCATTTCTCAAACCGAAGACGAAAGGGATGTGTAAGATCTCAGTTACTGTGGGGAAGGAGAGAGCATTTCCAAAATAAGAATTGTTAAATTAAATATTTCGTCACAATTGTCACCATTAGCGCTAATGTGGCGAGTGAGTTAGCAGCCAGCCAACTCTGGAGTAGCCAGCCAATATGAGACTCCCAAATACTAAGAGGTATTTCACACACTTCTGGTATGTATTAAAAAATGGACAAAAGTACAAAAGAAATTGTCAACAAAATTACAAAAAAGATGTTTCCGCCTTTTGTTTTGCAGGCAAGCTGAAGCAGCCAGGCTAATGTAGCTAACAAGTAATGGAAGCTTATAGCCACAAATTAGCATCGCACAAACTGCATGCCCAAATCATCACACACTATAAATCTATAAAATTGGACAAAAGTATGGACAAAATTCAGAATTCAAGATGACTTTTGACTGTTTTTCGCTTAGCAATGTACTAATTATGTCCTACAGTGTCAGAAACAACATAAGCAAGTTTTTGACATTACATGATATAAATTCAATGCAGTTTAAAGTAAGCGAGATGATGTAGGCATGCAGTTTACAGAATGCTAATGAGTGTACATAAGCTCCCATTACTTGTTAGTTACTTTAACCTTTTAGATCCAGAGTAAAACTAAAGAAGCAAACTTTAGACAGTAAACATGTCTTGGCTGATCAACTAGATTTGAGATAATTCAACAGGTTCTGATAAATATTTAAGCATATATAAGCTCTACTTGCAAAACAATCTGTAGCAATATTACCACAATATGCTATAGTGTCAATATCGTGCAGCCCTGGTGGCTAACACTAGCTATCCTTACAGCTGTTCGGTACCAAAGTTAGCTTTCAGCTTTTGGTCAGGAGATATAAACACACCGTGCAATGAATTCTCTTTGTCTTTTACCTGCAGAGTCTCTTGATGAGATCGACCACAGGCTTGCTCATTGTGTTTGGGAACTCTACAGCATCAATCCCCCTCAAAACCGCTGCATAGACCTTTAACTGATCCAGGCCTGAGAATGGGGGACTGGAGTGGACAGAATGGACACAAATATACACAATAGAAAAAATGAGACATTTGCATTTTGTTTATCAGTCAAGCTTTTTTTGCAATAAGCACCATTATGCTGCGTTTCTATTGATTTATGAAAGGCTTTAGGTGGACGCTTATTCATGCCAGTGTTTGAGCTTTACTCAATAGCCCAATCTGACTGCAGAGTCTCTGGAGAGGATGCCAGTGTATGTATGCCGGAGCTATGCTATGTGTGGAGCTCAATATAAAAGTGCTTCTGCAATCTGATATCTGTTTGCACATATCTATTTGCAGAAGCACTCTACTAGCTATAAGTCAGCTCCTAGGTATCTATTTTAAACCCATTTAAAATAGATACCCAGGAGCTCACTGATATTTAGTATACCTCTATACCCTGGGTTCCATCTGACATTAGAAAGAAAATGATCTGTGTAGTCTTTCTTATTTACCACGTCGTTTTAGGGCCACTGTTAATAAAATAAAAATAGTAGACTTCGAGAAAAAACGTCGTAATATTTCAAGAAAAAAAGTTGTAATATTTCGAGAAAAAAAGTTGTAATATTTCAAGAATAAAGTCATAATATTTTGACAAAAAAGTTGTAATATTTGGAGGATAAATTGAGCTGACTGTAGGGGTGCTGCCATAATGCGCTGAGGTCTCGGTTGCTGTTCTGGCGCGCCAGAGTTCCACTCACTCCTGTGGATCGATCATTTTGATAATCATTCTCACTGTCTGTGAAACTTCATGCCCTCTTTGAATGACACGGAGATGTAGTACCGATAGCCGTGTAGACGACCCTCCCTGCGATTCTCCTTCAATAAAACAGACAGACAGTTTCCTCCAAGTCCACAGTTTCCTGCTCAGCCGTTTCAGCTGTTTCTTTTACTAATAACAGGCTGGTGCTGATGTGCCGGAGAGACAGGGAAACTGAGTGTTTTGTTTATGGGTGAAATCGATATGAAACCAACTCCTCAACGCCCCTTATTTCAACAGGAGGAGGTGCTGCCTTCCCTTTGCAAAGCCTTTGGCCACAATATTGCGATCTTTCCTGGGATTAATGCCAATTTAATGTTGTAATTCTACGACTTTTTTTCTCGAAATATTATGACTTTTTGTAAGGATTCTGTAACAAAGTGCTTAAAGGTGAAATAGGTGATTTATTTTGAAAACATTTTTTGTTATATTTCTTGAAGTACTCTCTACATCCTGATTGCAGTCAATACATGCGTGTGCTCTGCACATATGCTCATTTGCGCTAATATGGAGTCCATCATACAGCGCTACACACACACACACAGCTGAAAGGTAGTGAGCTACGTGCCCAAGAACAGCAGAGAAAGTTACACAGGTACCTATAACTGCTTGCACTGCTAGCGAAAGAAAAGAAAGACAGAAGCAGAAAAACCTTTGAACAAAAAGAGATTGGATAAAGCAAGAGGTCAAACCAGAGTGAACATCTGTGTGGCTTTCCAGCAGTTGGGAAACCTGAGGGAGTTGAAAGGCCTGGAAAGCAACACCAAGGTTGCTATTTTTCTGTTGGACAGGTAATTATGTGGTTTGTTTACGGGGGAGTTTGTTATTTTCCTGAATTATGTAGCCAACGTTGCTAGCTACTTATGTAGCTACACTGTGTATTAGTCCAGCACTAATGTAAGCTAAGCTGTAAGTGTAAGCTAGCTAGCTATGTTTATCTTGAATGTAATCTGTGTGTGTATATGTGTGTATATGTGTACTCCGTGCACATTCATGTGTTTTGGGGCAGTGGCTTTGGAGGGAAAGTAGGGGGTGGGATTCTTTTGGTTGGATTTGTTCAAAAACTAGCTTACACTTCCTAGTTTCTACAAAATCACTTATTCCAGCTTTAAAGTTTTGAAGCCACAAAAGAACTACTTTTCCACTTAGGCTTAGATATGAATTTAACACTTATCCATCTACAGTTATTACTATCATATTGTTATGCTTGCAATTTCCATTATGTAACTATTTAAATCAGTCTAAAACTCAAATACCTGTGATAAATTCACTGTAATGCACGACATCAAATATTTTGTCATTTAAGAAAATCACTTTATAAGCATAAAACTACACACTTTCTCTTTATAAGCAGTTTTTGCTTCCAAATGACCACAATTACGACTATGCTAATTTCTGTTAGCGCCTTTATGTGATTTCCAGTCTTATTTAGCACCAAGCTAATGTTGTTGCACATCCCTGTTCCCCACGCTGAGGCTGAATCTCAAATGGCTCCCTACTTCCCACGTAGTGCACTACATAGGAATAAAAATACTGGCTCCTGAGCCCAAACAGTGCATAAGGTTTTTTACAGATAGTCATTTAGCATTCAATTACATGTGCACAATTCCATACTGGACGAATAGTGCATGTAGACGCCAGAATTTCATAACTTACAAAGTGCACCATATAGGAAAGAGAGAGTCGCTTGAGATTCAGCCTGGGTTTGATACTATACTGCCAGGATATACTGCCAGGACAACACAATATTTAACCCTATTTTTACAGTAAAATACTGTATTCATCATTTTATTGTGAAATTAATTCATCGTAACACAGCAAATTACTGTGAGGCTGACAATGAGCTGTTTCCCTAATTTAGTCGTCTCCAGTTCCACCTTTTTGTTAGGACTCCCCCAATCACACGATACTACCTTCGCTAGGAGGCGAAGGCCAGCACAGGCTTGATCCGAGACCTGTGAAGTGCCGCCGTATCTTTTCAAACTGCCGCTGACGCAACGTCACTGGACAGCTGAATGCTCTCATAGGGAAAGTCCCAACCACCACTGGTTACGTCAGCTAAAAGACACCTGTGCTGACTAGCATCGCGTTGAGTGATGGGGAGAAGGAGGGTCATCCTACCCACCCAGAGAGAGCGAGGCCAATTATGCTCTCTTGGACTCTCGGCCACAGACGACTGTAGCATCACCAGAGGTCGAACTTGCGATCTCCTGATGAGAGGGTCAGCGCTTGTGCCACGTGGGAGCCCCCTGTTTTAAAGACTTTTATAGTTTTATGCAAATTTTTTATGTGGTGATGTCATGTTTGTGCAAATTACAAGCAGAGTTTAAGTGTGTATTTGTATTTTAAGAGATAGTCTGTGCTTCATCAGTATGCCATGCGAGATAAATGAGGACTAAAAGTTTCAAATGAGTGTTTTCTCTGCTCGTCTCACTGAGCTACAGCTGAGAATTTACCACAAGCAGGCGATAGTTGTAGCTTTTACAGGTCAACAGAAATTATCCAACTGAATTGTAAATCTCACCTGCTGTTCAGTAACTCATGCACAAACACTCCTAAAGCCCAATAATCCACTGTGGCGCTGTGACCTCTGAGCAGGATGACCTCTGGGGCTTGATAACCCACTGACCCACAGAATGACCAGACTCTCTGCAGGGTGCCCAGCTTCTTAGCAGAGGAAAACCCTGCCTGAGAGAGAGAGAGAGAGAGAGAGAGAGAGTGAGAAATAAAGAGAGGGAGAAAAAGAAAGAGGAAGAGAGGGGGAGGAGAGAGATTAAAAGAAGATAAGAGGAAAAGAGAAAGACAGAGAGAGAGAGAAACAGAGAGGGAGGGGAGGAGAAATAAAGTGAGAGAGATGAAGAGAGAGAGGAAGAAAGAGGAAGAGAGAATGAGGAGTCAGAGAGAAATAGAGAAGAAAGAGGAAGAGAGAGGTGGAGAGAGAAACAGAGAGGGACAGAAAGAGAAAGACAGTTGGAGAAGGATGGAGAAAAAGAGAGAGGGACAGAAAGAAAAAGAGAAAAAAAGATAATGGGAGGGAGAAAGAGGGCCAGAAAGAGAAAGAGAAAAAAGAGAAAGATGAGGAGAGAGATGGAGAGAGAAAGGACGGAAAGAGAGAAAAAGGGATAGGGAATAGGAGATGAGACAGAGAGAGAGAGTGAGATAGAGAGGGAATGTTAACTTTGTTTACAGTTATGATTTCTCTGGTGTAAATTTAGACTCATTCGGAACATTTAAAACATTTTTCTTAAATAATATCAGTCATAAGTTTGGGACCTACTTACTTACTATTTTAAACATTTGAGAATAATAGTGAAGACATCAGAGCTATGAACTAACATATGGAATTATGCAATGACCAAAAACGTGTTAAACAATTTAAAATGAACTTTCTATCAATGTTAGCTTCTTCAGTCGCTCTGTAAGAATGTCTTTAAGATTATGAAAAACGTGCACTGAATCAGGTGAGTCTGATCTTTTTGACTGATATTGTCTATGGATCTGCGAGGAATCTTTAGAGCTGAACACTGCACCAGTTTGGCGTATCCTTTGTGGTCCAGCAGAACGTTCTCTGGTTTGAGGTCTCGGTGTAGGACACCTTGGCTATGGAGGAAACTCAGAGCCTCCAACACACACGCTGTGTAGAAACGGACTGCATTCTCATCAAACGGACCCCTGAAAGAACCGCAGACTGTCAGAGAAAAGGAGCTGCAGACTGTCACAAACAAGAATCACTCCAAGTCAACATCAATCGGAAATCATAACACTGTTTTCTGCTGCACTGGGACATATTTCAGAGTGAAGCTGGTAGAAAAGGTAGAAAAGGTCCATTTTGATTTCAGCTTGACTTTAAAATTATTGGTTATTCAAACCAATATAAAACAAATATAAAATGATTGGTTATTGGTTATTCATCTTAGTATACATTTACTTAATGTATATATATATAATATATAATATATATATAATATATATATATATATATATATATATATATAATAAATATATAATAATTTTTAAAACATTATATATATATATATATATATATATATATAATTTTTTGAGATTATTTAAGGTTTATTTTTTATAAATTGCAAATAACAGAATAAGTAAACAAAAAATCTGAACTTTAGAAATAACACAGCATATGATATACATATAATATGCGTATGTATCGGTGCTGTCGGAAGAAAATCTTGTATCTCAATTTTGTCATTTTTCAGTTTTTGACATAAAAAACCATTGACTTACATTAAAAAGTAAAGTAGATTTTTTACTTCTCCTGTTAAGTTACCATTTTGGAGATGCAAGGTTTTCCTCCAACAACAGCATATATATAAGATCAATGGTAACACCAATGCTAAAACATATATATATATATATATATATATATATATATATATATATATAACATTGATCTTCCTGCTAAACAGGAAGTTATCACCTGGCAAAGGATAGAGATTCATTCTGCATTTATAGTGGATTTGTTTGATAATTTCATTCAATTTTTAATTCTGACATGCTGTATCTGCCTTCATCTACCATGAATGAATTCATGAAGACAGATTTAACTCTGTTTAAATCTGTTTACATTGGAGTAATAGCTAAGTTAGTTATAGTTCCACCACACTGCCTCAGGTTTTCATTTGAGTGCTTTTTTTCTTACATGCAGCGTTCTAATTTTACTTTAACAACGTAAGACTAAACTGACTTTACATAAAATAACCAGACACTAACACAAAGAAACATCACAAACACAAAGGTACATCACTAAATCCACCAAGCCATGATCTAGAAACACTGAAAATGATGCCTGATTTTCAGCTGAGGAATTAGATATCTGCTCACCTTCATTCACTTGAAACCACATATGTAGCTGTGTGCAAAAGTTTAGTTACGCCTAGTCAAATTGCACATTTTGTTGATTTTATAAGTGAAACACGTCCTCTACAGAGAACACACTTTAGTACACATTTGCACATTTTAGTACACAATTACTGTTTATTCGCTGAATGTTTTAATTTTTTCTGATATGTTAACTCGACAAATACACAGAAAATAAAAATAGCAGAAAAATGCCAGATTTATGTAAAAAAGCAACAAAACATGTCATTTGACTTGTGTGAACTTTTGCACACGACTATATTTGTATACTGACAACATATAATACAATATGTTGTCTGTATATTCCAAGATATTAAGAGGACATGTTGTAATATATTGCTGTTTTGTATGTAGAGAATACAGGCATCACCTGAATGGTTTAGACTTAGCCTTTCTGATTACCTCTCCTTCAGCAAGGTCCACAGATCTCCACCTAAACACGCCTCCATCAGCATGTAAAGGCACTTCCCATCTCTAAAGGTCTGATACAGCCTGAGATAAGAGACACTTTTATGTGAATACACAAACACATACACTGAAAAACACAATCAAAATGATGTCATATCTGAAATGACAGTCACAAGCTGGAGCCTGTTCAAGCTCTCAAATATTCTAGTGTCTGATTCTATTAGGAATTCACTGTAATTACAGAGCTATTCATTTTCTTGCACATCTTTTAATTTAGAAATGGTGTGCACTTGCTCGGTGTACAGTGAGTACTGACCGGACGATGAAAGGACAGTGGGTGTCTATCATGATTTGCTTTTCACTGAAGATTCGCTCTCGGTGGCCTGGGCTCACTACCGCATGCTTTCTTATTATCTTTAGCGCAAACACGCGGCTGCCGTCGTTCTTTAAGTGCACCTGAAAGAGTGAGGAAAGAGCAAAGAGTAAGAAATTAGCAAAAAGGAGAAAATTCTAAAGGAGTCTTCAGACAGGATTAGTTTTATGTGGATCATTCAACATTCAACAGAGTTGAAAACACATTTCAGACTTTTAACTGATTTGGTTGGACGTTAGACTAAAATCCTTTTGACCCTATACCTTAACTATGTGCATTTATTTTATTCAAATAAATGAAAAACATACCATTTTGTCACTACCGAAACAATCATGACACTACCAGAACTTTACTGAATGCTCATAAACGCTACCAGTGGACACATAAAATCACAGTATTTTCCATTACTTTCATCACAGATTAGTTGTAGCAAATTTGTTTCAGTAGTGACAATCCTTAATGTTCCACACTGATTTTCAGACTTTGAGACACATTTACTTCAAAACAATGGGATCTAACTGCTCACCATGTGGCCATGAGGGACATGCAGCCTCCATTCCTGCTCTAAAATCCAGAGGTGTGGCTAAAATAAGGTCCCGTCCGTTTATGAAAACTCTCTGTTTCGGTAGTGACATGAGAACATAGGACAGCGTTTTTGAATAAAGATTTTTTATTTAAAAATGAAACTTGTGAAAAATCAAAAGCTTTCAACTTCACTTTTAAAGGAACCTCATAAAGAAACATAATTCAGTCTGTTAGGCAATCAGGGTATTTCTACACTACGTTTCCATTACAAGCCTCATTGCTCAATTCAGGTTTTTTTGCCCAGATATGATCTTTCTAACATGATCACATTCGTGTATGTAAGTGACTCAGATCCATCATTAAAGTGAACACACCTGCATCCTGAAATGACCCACATGTACACATCCTAATCAATAGTGTCACATGAATAAACCACAAGTCATGGAAAGCAAACACACTAAACCAGTAGAACAAGCCTTTGTCGTCAAGATAATTTGCTCTGAGCTGTTCATTATTAGAGCAGGACAAAGGAGAAAAAGGGTCAGATGCTCTTACAGTGGCAAATGGAACTCACTTCAGGTTCAGCGCTGCTGCCTCGCTACAGCTGAATAATGGTGCCTGTGCAGTGACCTTAGTGACCTCAGTGAGAACAGATCAGGATTCATTTGGGGTTTTTTCACTGCACATGCACCATCATTCAGCTTTAGCATGACAGCTTTTCTCTTTCATCTCGCTCTAATAATGAACAGCTCAGAGCAGCACAGAGCAAATTAGCTTCACGACGAAAGCTTGTTCTGTTGGTTAGTTAGCTTGTTGTTCATGATGCACATGGTGGGCATGGTGGCATGGTGGTGCAGTGGGTAGCGCTGTCGCCTCACAGGGAGAAGGGCCTGAATTTGATTCCCTGGCTGGGTGGCCAGGGTCCTTTCTGTGTGGAGTTTCCATGTTGTGTCTGTGTCGGTTTTCTCCCACAATCCAAAAATGCAGTAAGGTGAATGTGTATGTCTGTGTGTCTGCCCTGTAAGGGACCATTGGCCTGTACAGGGTGTTTCCTGCCGTCCACCGCATGACCGCTGGGATAGGCTCCAGCAACCCCATTCGACTGAGGGCGATGCATGTGGTTCATTCAAGTAATGTTATTGATTAGGACGGCCGTGTGTGGGTGGCTCAGATCTGATTTAAAAAGATGAGATTTGTTTGTCCACACAGCTCCGAAAAACAATAAGATCCCTGTCCCATAAAGGCAAATAATCAGATGTCTGCTACTTCAACCTGGTAGAGTGAACGTAGCTTTTGCGCTAAATCACATATACGTCACATTGATAGCTGTAATCCCATTCAGTTTATGTGGGTTAACCCTTAGAAGTTGCAGCTGTTTGCTAGTCAAGGCAAAAGTCTGGTGAAATTTTATAATAATTTTTATGTTTTAAGTAAAAGAGGAGATATTTTCAACTTCAAGTTTAGGTTCAAATCTAATATCGCCACATCAGACATGGGTTTGTTCCAAATTTGCATACACAGCATAAAACAATGACAAAGATAAGGACAATAAATACAAATATCCATTCATAAGACTGAACAAAGTAGTAGAACTAAAACAGAAGCTGAAAACACAAAGAAACAATACAAGTACAATACAGTGCTTAATTCTAGGGATGCCTTGATACTGAAACTGGTATCAAGCATTGGGCCGATACTGTTCTCATTTACTCAGAGTCAACCTCATAAAATGGTAACGATGACAACATCCGATATCACCTCATACCATGTGCCGTAAGCAGAGTGTAGTGAGTTGTTTGTTCATTAAAGCTGCTGCACTAATGAACAAACAACTCAAGCTGACATACACTGTGCAATTTTTGTCTGTTTTTGAACAGTTGTTTGTCCAGCTCCTCCTCTTCCTGAGCCTTGATACTAAGTGCATTTACATGCACTCAATAATCTGATCATAATCGGATTTCTGCAGTTATCTGATTATTCAAATGGTCATGTAAACAGCATACTCCAATTTCTTAGATCAGAGTAAGGTCTAGAAATCCAATTTAGAAATTCATTAAAGAGAGCTGGATTTTAGCTTAGTAATCAGATTTCTCAGTGCATGTAAACTCTTACTCTGATTTCTTTCGGATTTCTCAGTCTGCGCATGTGAAAAATCAGTCGGCGGTACCAGAAATAAGCAAGCAGCGTTGCCGCAAAATGGCAGAAAAACACATTTGGAGCGACACTGAAACCAAATACATGCTTGATGAAATCTTCTAGATGATGTATGTTCATATTTTCAGGTAAAGTTGCGCAATGTTTTAAAAAATAGCCGCGGCATGAAGTCCGAGTTTTACATTACGTTTTCGTCACGTCTTCTTCTGTTAGTTTATTGGCTGGTTGCAAATCGGAAAATCTGATTATTGCCTGACTCATGTAGACCTGGAGTTTCCCATTATCTGATTACTCAGGTGCATGTAAACGCATCGGATTACACATCAGATTACTGACAAGATCCGTTTTTCTGCAGTTATCGGATTATTAAGTGCATGTAAACGCACTCACTGATGAACCACACTAATTTTGAAAAGGTGGTATGAAATGATTTGACCATCTGTAACATTTTGCTGTAATTTTGTCTTTCCTTGACACCAAAACAAACCAAACGAAGTCAGAAGTTCAGACTAGAACATGCCACCATAGAATATAAAGTGAATGGACTTTTGACTCAACTTTTATGCAATAATGTAATCTTCTGCAATTACATTCAAGTAGTATAACAGAGTGAGTGTATAATGCAAGACTTTTAAGGGTTAAAAGAAAAGTTTAGTATATATCAATATTGTAGGCCTATTGATAATAATGCAAATGAAAGATCAGCTCCAGGATTAATGATAGTGACTATTCTGAAATCTACAGTGAGTAAGACCATTTAGCCAGCCCCCCATGAGAAAATTCAGCCTGGACATCACATGTTTTTTACCAAGCACATGCTTTCCACCTTTAATGGCCATAACAGTACAGTGTCTTCACGTGGCATTTAGCGCTCACCAGTTGTGTGATGCCATATCGTCCCTCTCCCACATTACACAGCACCTGGACGTCACTGGACGATACGTCACACAGTTCAGCCCCTTCCTCCTCTGCCCTGCTGATTTCAACAGGCCAGTTTTAAGCTCAGTAGAGTTCAGTGTATTTTACTGCAAGTCATTTGGAGGTCTATGGGGTTTGTAATAAGTGCATACTTGGCTTTTGGCTCATTGGTCCCATTCTCCCTGGCATCGTCCAGCTCTCCTATACACCTCTTCAGAGACCTGACAACACAAAAAGTATGTATTCATAAACATAAAAAAGACATCTCTAAAAGCGATATTGAGAGAGACAAAAGTATTCAGACACCACATATTAATAATACTAGTACTCAGTTTTGAGCTTTGAGACGTCTGTGGTTTCATTTGACACATTCTGCTTGTCTTCAAGTCCTTTCAATAGAATTAATACCAGTAGATTGACTGGGCCATGCAAGCATCCTCAAATTTGTTAGAAACCAGTCTTGCATAATTTAGTTGTATGTTTGGGGTCTTTGTCTTGTTGAAACGTCCATCTTCTACCCATATTCATTTTTTTTGACGATGAGATTCATTTCTCCTCTTATATCTCCTAATATATTGCTCCATTCATGTTTCCTTTGGTTATGTGTAATGTCCCAATACCATATTGTGATGCTCCCACCGCCATGCTTCACTGTGGGGATGGTGTTCTTTGGATAATACAAGCGACACTTCTTTCTTTCCAATTGCATTTTATCAAACAAATTGTACTGCCAGGGATGTTTAAGGTCTTTGCTATGGCTTTGTGGTTTTTTTCTTTACAAGTGTTGTTTAACAATTGTTTAGTAATAGTTTAATGTCCCTGAGAACTTCAGAACCCCTGCACCTTCACCATTACTGCTACTTGTTGTGTGAAATCTTCCTGATAGCAATGTCTTTTATAACAACACCAGGAGTAATTTGCATGAACAGTTTTATTTTTATGTTTGCAGCAATAATGTGTACACTTAATTTATTTTTAACCTTAACACATGTATACTTTTATATAGTGTCAGAATATGTTTTTTTTCATTGATTTTTTTAAACATATCTTTTGTTTATGCTTATGAATACACACTTTTTTTGACCACATTTATAACTACAGAGTCAGAAGACATTATGGGTATTATATACAAAAGTGTCTGAATACTTGTTTCCCCTGTGTATTATGAAAAACAAATAGAAGTTTTATATATATATATATATATATATTATATATATTATATATATATATATATATTGCAATAGCTGTGTGATAATATTACAAAACTAGTTCTATGATAATGGACACTACTTACTCTCTGTTTATGGCCAGGCATGTGACATCACCTGCAGCAGCGACACTCAAAGACCTCACTACCTCTCTGCAGAAAGAAAACAGGTCACATCTTTATCATCAGCTTTTATGTTTTAATGTTCCTTATTCTACATTTCTCTTGTATATTATGCTTTTCCCTGATGTTTGTGTTATTTTATGTACCAAAAGCACTCACAATTCACATTGTTTTTCCTTAAACAGGCTGTAACTTCTGTAACTCCTATTGAACAGGCTGTAACTCCTGTTACTGATTGTTACTGACATACACTGATGAGCAAAAACATAATGACCACTCACAGATGAAGGGAGTAACGTTGATTATCTCATACAAATGGCACATATTAAGATTTGGGATATATTAGATTGTAAGTGAACAGTCGATTCTCCAAATTGTTCTAGTCGGATGACTATGTCGGGGCAGATCCGAAAGGCAGATCCGAGGCTCGTGGGGTGCTGCCAGTCAGTAGTGGTGAGTACCAAGAGTGAGCCAAGGAGGGACAAACCACGAACCAGTGATGGGGTGTTGGGTGTCCAAGGTTTATCAATGGGCAACAAAGCCCATCCCATTTTGTCAGAACCGACAGAAAGGCTACTGTGACTGTGTTACAAAACACCGTAGATCGCATCCATCCTTCCATGTATAGGGCTCCATAGTTGTAGACCAGTCAGAGTGTCCATGCTAACCTCTGTTCACCATCAAATGTGCCTACAGTGGGCATGCAAGCATCTGAACTGGACCTTGGTGCAACGGAAGAACGTTGCCTGGTCCAATGAGTCCCTTTTTCTATTACGTGGACAGCCGGACACATGGGCATTTACCTGGGAGAAGCGATGGTACCCGGATGCACTATGAGAAGAAGACAAGCCAGTGGAGGGAGTGTTATACGCGCTACCTGAACATCACTGTGGACCAGGTACACCCCTTCATAGCAATGGTATTCCTCCAAGGCAGTGGCCTCTTTCAGAAGGATAACAAATTTTGCCACATTGCACACATTGTTCTGGAATGGTTTGAGGAACATGATGTAGAGTTCAAGGCATTGCCCTGGCCTCCACATTCCCCACATCTCAATCCGATCAAGCATCTGTGGGATGTGCTAGAACTACAAGTCTGATCCGCAGTGGCTCCTCCTCGCAAACTTCAGGACTTAAAGGATCTGCTGCTAACATCTAGGAGCCAGATACACTTTCAGAGGTTTTATGGAGTCCATGCTTTGGTGAAAGCTGTTTTGGCAGCACACGGTGGACCTACAGCATATTAGGGAAGGTGGCCATAATGTTTTGGCTCATCAGTGTATGTAAATGATCTCAGTCCTGCACTGTGCCTCACTCAGAAATCAGTCCAGGCCAAATGTACCAAAGATCTCACATCAAAATTCTTGGGAATGTTGGGAAAAAAGTCAGCTCTTCTGTAGCATGTATGGATCTTTCAGATGGCTACGGTTAGATATTTGCTTCCCAACAGGCACAAACAGCACAACGTTTAATTGTTTTCTCCACATCTTCAGCTCCAAAGAACTCAGCTAGAGACATTTTTATGATACATGATACACGATATGCATCACAAATTTTGGTAGGTAGGAACCCCCAAAACTAAAATACTATCAAGAACTATGAATACAGTGATTTTTATTTTACGTTTTACAAATTGGCTGCGCTAAAACCAATTAAACAGGACAAATTATGCTCTGTTTGTAATAAAACATGCACTACAGCATTCTTTAAGTGCTGACAATTTCAATTATATGCTCACAAAAGCATACTTTGGTGTAATTTATCATGATAACAAGAAAATATTATATTGCTCACCCCTAGTTGTGACATTACAACTATGATGAATTCAAAACAGGGTTTTTGCAGCTTAGTTTCTATACATAGACTAGGGAGAGTACAATATGTGGCCCAAGTTTTGCTGGCCCACCACACATTTATACTAATATAAATCAAGGCTGTTCACATAAGGATCAATAACCTTTTTTATTTGAACTTTTGGATTTCAGTTTTCAACTGTCTTGTAAAGACTAGTGCCTAATGGCTGTAGTCTAATTGCCACTTGTTTAGCTGATCTCATTCCTCCACCACCTGCAGGTATGAGCCTGTGATGGCTTTCGTATAACAGTGGGGACTCAGCAGACACTTGATTTGGAATAGTGGAGTGAGCGGCCCCTTCTGTGCCTCTGATTGCCTGTGATTTGGAGGATATTGTGTGGAGAAAAGAGGCACGGCACACACATACACACACAGAAGCCTTCAGTTGTGCGGAGACAGAATCAGAATCGTGCAGAAAAACAGTGAAACCTGTCCGTGTCCTCACAGCAGGGAGTTGATACACTCAAGTGGAGAGACTACAGGCATCCCATCGACATAAATCATTCAATATCCTGTTTTGGTATTTTTGGGAGATACTTCTCCAAAAGCTGTACATCTCACAACTAGTATTCTCACAGAATATAAACTACAGGGGCTTCATTGTCTTCTAGTCTGAAGAACATTTTAGAAGGCTGCACCAATCAGATCCCTCAGATAAAAAGTCCTAGCACAAATGCAGTTGATCAGCCAAGACGTTTGGTGTCTAGTGTGCTTCTTTAGTTTTGTTTATATGGTTTCTGTAACTGTTCACTGCTAGCATCAAGATGGTATATATATATATATATATATATATATATATATATATATATATATATATATATATATATTAGCATGTTTATTAATTCTTTTAGAATCAATGCAGCGCATGTAGCAAACATGATCATTAAATGAACGAATTCTACAGATGATTTTAATTAACAGCTTCTTTACAAACTGAAGTTCCTACTAAAGCCTGAGTAGACTGATAAACCAATGTGATGGTCAGTTATTCATCTCAGCATTACAGAGCTCTTTTGAGGGATGACCAAATTAATGATCTCCTCAGTGGTGGACATGTTTGTGAGAGAACACCAGTGCATAGCATCTTGTTGTACTGGACTCCTGCTTGGGGCATTATGGGAGCAACAGTGGACTGAAGCAGGTAATGACAAAAAAATAGAGAATTTTAGTAACTTCATTTAAATTATTAGCAATTTCATGAAACTATAACAGAATAATAACATGAATAAAACTGCCAATCTGTAACAGTGAGGAACAGTGTGAATTAAGTAAAATAAAAATTAAAAATATGTTACTAAAATATATTAGAAAATGTTACTTTTTTATGTATTATTATGGAACACATTACTGAATACATTTAGGACAGTGTACCTGATGGTTACAGCAAAACCTCTACACTTCAGTGCAGATGGAAAAAAGTAGAAAAGCCAGTGTTGTAATGTCTCTGTGGTGCAGTGGATGGTTGCGCCCCCTGCTGGCCACAGTGACTTCTTACCCTTTCAGAGCTCTCTCCCCAAAGCAGTTGCCTCGAGAAAGGATGGACACGCAGACACTCTCCTCGCTGATGGAGCGCCTCTCCAACACCCTCACCTGATGGAGCATCAGACAGACATACAGTTGTATGCAAAAGTTTGGGCGTCCCTGGTCAAACTGCATGATTTCCTAAGTGAAAGTAAATTAACACATCCTCTACAGAGAGCACACTTCTGTGTGTTTTAATGCAGTTGTTGTTTATTTGCTGAATATAATAAACTGGGGAAAATTAAACATAACATGTGGCTTGTGCAAAAGTTATGGCACATTTTAATTTAATTTTCTATGGTTTATTTTTTGCAATATGTTAAACTCAGCAAATAAATAGAAACTGTGCACTAAAATTAGTGGAAAAATACCATATTGAAGTGTGTTCTCTGTAGAAGATGTGTTCACTTATTTTCACTTAGAAAATCAACACCACGTCATTTGACCGGGGGTGCTCAAACTTTTGAAAATGACTATCATATTTAAAGTCATCTAATGTTTGGACACACCTGACAGAAGGTTTGTTTTGTATAATCATAAAAACACTTGATCTGAAGTCTTATGCATTTTTTTCTAAGAAAAATATAAATAAATATAAACAAATAAATAAAATATTATAAAGCTGATAGTAAAAGGTAAATTGATGGTTTATTGACAATTTAAAGGATTTTTGGGAACAAGAGGAAGTTATGTATGCATTGCATGTATTGCAATTGATCTGTTACTCGCTGCTTTTCAGCATTCTGGATACTCATTCCATTTTAAATTCATTCTACTGTCTTACTTATTATGTAGTTGTCTATGTCTCTGTTCATCATCAAACATTTTCTCAATTTTACAGCTTCCTACAAACTGTTTAAAGCCTACAGATTATAAGCATCATATTGGAATCATTTTATACATGTATCTGCAACATCTGCCACAAAAAAAAAGACTTTTTTAATAGAAACTTTCTATGTTATGTCTGACTAGGCTATTCTGTCTCTCCTAGCTGGTTTAAACTTCCATAGTTACTTCATAGGACTGATGTGTCCACAGCTGTTCTTAAATTTGGAAGTTACACTCTCAGAAATAAAGGCATGAGATTGTCACAGGGGCAGTGCCTCTCTTGCCACTGGGGTGGTTCCCTCAAGGGTACATCTCAGTATCTTTAGTCAGGGAACCTAATTGTACCATAATCCATTGAAACTTGTATTGACTCCACACACCCCGTCTCGTCTCCAGGCTTTTTATTTTATCGTTCTGTTTTAAAACATTCGGTTATGAAAAGGTACAAACATCTACCTTTCACCTGGAAAAACTTATTTAAGGTTCACAATCAGACCTTAAAACCACTGTTGTATCTTTAAGGGCACATTTACATTGTTTGTACCTTGTTGAACAAAAAAATGTACCAGCACAGAACCTTTATTTCTAATAGTGTAAAATAAAAGAAAAAACATTTCAATGAGTAGGCGTGTCCAAACTTTTGACTGCTACTGTAATGTGAACTATGAAAGGAAACGTTTCCACCACTCTGCACATATTTGCCTGCCTAAGGTAATAACTACTCCACGGGTGAATGTGGAAATATGTCTGAAGTTTCGAGTGCTGAGTCTCAGGTTGCTAGCATAATGTATTATCTCACGCAAATCTAGGCTCAGTTCCCTCCCGTAGTTATGCTAATAAGTCAGACGGCTGAAAGTCTGGAGAAAAAGCTTAACAACCAACTCGGTCTGCACCAAACTCATAAAATCAGACTCACGCTGAGATCATAAGCCATTTCAAATAGACTGATCTAAAAAAGGGGACAAAAGCATGTACAGAACTCAGGCTACAGGAGGTGGCTGCTACTGTTTTTGGCTTAGCGATACACCTCTGCTCATCTCATTGATAACAGTGTGTCACACAGTGTCAGAAACCACACAAGCACATCTATCTGAGATGACTTAACAATTAAATTACCTTTATTTCTGAGAGTGTAGGATCCTTACCGGAATGCAGAACTTCAGAGAACTCAGAAGAGTTCTAGGGTAAGCTTTGTGCCAAGGAGCTCAGGTGCTCCTGATTTGTTCCCTTTTCTGTCTTTATTCTTCCTGTCAGTCAGAGAGTACGTTTGATTCATGAATCAGATTTTTCCTACATTGTCCAAGCCCTTAAGGATTACCTGAGCAAGATTAGGAACCAATCTATGTTCTTGTCTTTTACCTAACACAAAGTACACACCAATGAGCCAAAACAGAACGACCACCTGAGTAATATGCTGCTGGTCCTCTGTGTGCCACCAAAATGTCTCAGACCCCATGAGGCATGGTCTCTACAAGACCTCTGAAGGTGCCCTGTGGTATCTGGCAGCAGATCCTTTATGTCCTAGCACATACCACAGACGATTGATCGGATTGAGATCTAGAGAATTTGGAGACCAGGGCAACACCTTGAACACTGCCCAGAGCATCACACTCCCTCCACCAGCTTGTCTTCTTCCCACAGTGCATCCTGGTGCCATCATTTCCCCAGGAAAACAGGATACACATATACAGCCACATGCTGTAAAAGAAAACTGGAGACCAGGCGACCTTTTTTCATTGCTCCATCGTCCAGTTCTGGCACTTATGTGGCCATCATTAAAAATTTCTGTGTCTTGTGCCACGGTAGCCCTTCTGTTGGTTCAGACCAGATGGGATCGCCTTCGTTGTCCTCAAGAATTGATGAGCCTTTCACCAGTCCATCTCGGACCACTGTTGGAAGGTGCTCACCACTGCTGACCAGGAGCACCCCACAAGCCTTGTCGTTTCAGAGATGCTCCAGCTCAGTTAGCAGGCCATAACGATGACACTGTCGAAGTCACTCAGGGGCTTCACACCTGCCCATTTCTGCAGCATCCAACATGTCGACTATGAGAACCAGCTGTTCAACTACCATCTAATATATATATATATATATTAGATGGTAGGTGATATATGTGCCGTAACAATGGCACATGTGAAGATCTGGGATATATATATATATATATCCCAGATCTTCACATGTGCCATTGTTACGAGATAATCAATGTTAATCTTCATCTGTGAGCAGTCATGATGTGTTTATGAGGGCTTATGTGTTTGACCCAGCAGTTCTTATAGGTTTGGACAGTGAGCCAGTTTGCTGGACAGCTGTTTCTTAATTTCTTTTACATTTAATAAAGTAGTGTTTTATAATATTGCAGCACAATATTGCAGACTTTTAAAAATTATTTCTTGATGATTTTTCTAAATTAAATAACAGATACTATTGCTCATTCTTTAAAACAGATACCTTGCTCATTCTTTAATTAAAAAAGCTGTCAATGCTACTAAAAGAAGAGCCAATTGGGATCAGAAAAAATCATTTTTACTCGTGAGCTGACTCACCTGAAAAGAGCTATTCCTTTGCATTTTAATTTCAAACAGCAATCTTTACAGCACGCCAACAAATATTTATACAAAATGCTTTTTCCCCTAGTTTTAAGTCTATGCAATCAAATTAAATGCTCTGTTCAGGAGATTTTTCTGTTGTGTCAGAGGGCCACTTAGCTTCTGGTTGTTTCGCTTATCATCTACTTAGTTTCATTGTCAGCACACAAACTTCACATACTCAGCCCATATTGATATATAATATCACTGGCCAGTGCGCCAAAAGTGCTTAGCTGTGTCTGGTATTGGGTGTTTCTGTGATGCCTTTTTAACTATTGAGATCTACATTCACTGCTTTGAGACCACAGCAAAGGCAAAAGACGTGAGTCTTATGGCAAATCAGCTTCATTGAAAACAAGTCTGCATGTTTGTATTCACACATAATGAACACACATAATAAACTGTTGAGGTCAAAATTTGTTCTAACTTGGATGCTTGTAAATTAAACGCTCAAACTGTAGAGCCCTGGAAAGGCCATTTTTCCCACCTGGCCGCGGCTAACGATGAAGAGGGCGTCTCCTGGGCAGCCGTGTCGAATGATGTAGTCCCCCTCACTGTAATGAAACTGACAGAAAGGAGTGGGAGTGTGTGAATCATGGAAAAATATACTGCATCAGGGTTATTTCTAGCAATAATAAAGCATTGTGTAATATGATCAGAATTACTCCTCACTCATTGCTCATCTAAACAATTGGAGAAAATCTGATAAAAGGGCAGAAACTAAACTGCCAATTGATACCATATCTGTGTTTGGAAGCAGAAGATAAGATATTTTAACCCATTAAATGACCAGGGCCCAACGGCAGGCCCAAAGTTTTATTACACACTTCTATAAACTAAGAATAGCTCAGCCAGTTTACATTGAAGCCCCTGTAGTTACTGAATAATAAGCCTTAGTATGTAATAAGCCTGCGATTTTAAAGGGTTAATACGATTTGACTGTGATGAAAAGTTGTTAGTCTTGTTTTGCAGAAAAAAAAATTGCCATGTTTTTGTCATTTTTTGACATTGACTGTAACAGAAAAATGTCAGACCTAAGCTGACTGATACATGTAAACTGAATGTAAACATAATTCATTATGTAACAAAATATGTAATTAATTATAGTCAGTGTTGGAACAAAACCTCATATCTGAAAAAGGTCACTTTTAAGCATAAGGGGAAAAAAATAACATAGAAATTAATGGAGAAATTATTTATTCCAAGGAAATGTGGACGATTCCTATTGGTCCACTCATTATGAAATTTTGACCCAGTATATAGGGCAGCTGGTGATTTTAAATTATGTGAAAAAAGACTTTAGCCAATTTAATCCCAAATCCAGCCTCACCCAAACCCACTGTTTCACCCACACTGAACGTCCTCTAGATGAGAAAAAAATGTAGGTGAAAAAATTCTGACTATATATGTAAATGTGAAACAGAGCCATTTAAAAACACGACTGAAGATTATCAGCAGCCAATAATTTATACAATAAGAAAAAGAACCCTTCACTAGGCCCAGAACACACCTAGAGCGATAAGGTTAATTGCAGTGTGAGATTAACATGCAACCTATGAATAATTGAAACATGCTTGACAGATAATGGAGTAATGCTGCTTTAGCATGTGCCAGAAAACTTACTTTTACCAGCTTCGGTAAAAGTAGAGTACTTTAAGGATGTGGGGCTGTATTACAGAAACCTCCAATCTTTTGTCCTAAGTTAAGATCTGACAAGGTCAATGTAAGATTTTTTACAAATTCACAGGGGTGCCAATAAGGATTTATGGATGGGGGGCTAAGCCTTTATCAGGGGGCACTGGGGGTATGCTCCCCCAGGAGAAATGTCTGTTCATCATGAATTTTTAGAACAGGAATAGGCATGAAATTGATCAAAAATATACTATATGGTGAAGTAGTCACACAGTAGATTTATCTTCATACTTTTCATAATCAGAATTAGGCCCAGATCTAATATTATACAGACTTAAATGCTAACTACCCACCTACAACAGGCACTGATCAAGCAACAGCAGTGAAGTCAAGCAATTCCATCTTCTCTCTCTTTAAGTAACCTGCCGATCCTAAATATCATAGCTGTTTTTGAGAAATCATGTTAATTTTAGGTTATTTGTTCTTCAGCACTTATTTATGAGATATTCTGATAAGGACTCTTATTGTGAAAGCAGGGGCTAGTATGTGTGCAGAGCAGGAAGAATTGAGAGTCAGTCGAGAGCTGACGGCCAAGAAAGCAAGATGTAAGCTGAGGCGCACAGCGAACTGTCAGCAAAAGCTGAGCTTATGTGCGGCGTGGCTGTGGCCAACAACAGCTAGTTAATAAAGCACCACTACTAAGCTGTGTCTCTATTAATAGCAGTGAAGCCTACAATATGTTATTCAGCTCCTTCTCTCCCTCTTCTTGTCTGTGTTAAGTACCATGTTATTTACAAGAACTCAAATACAAGGCTTCGTTTTTTTACTGCACCAGGCAGAATCTTCTCATTCAACTGGTCTTCACCTGAGCTGCCTCCTCTCTTAAAGAAAATTTGTACGTCCATCTTCAAGTTGAGGATTTGACGGATATAAAACTGCATTATAATCATAACTATGTGACCTTTTTACTGACATTAACTTACCATAAACAACTGTCTGTGGTTAATACTGGTGATTATTTCAAATACTGAAGAGAAAAATATGAAAACAAAGAACATAAATAGCTGCCAATAACGTTATTCCCATCTCTTTCACTCATTCACACTCTCACTATCTGTGAAGTGTTCTAAAATGATTAAAATAGTTGGCTAATGTTAGTGCTATATCACCTACACCCTTTTGTTTACCTCACATAACTAAGGTTCCTAGCGTTAGCTAACAAGAAGCCAGTAAAACTCAATAGCCAGCTATATTTAGCATCATTTTAGCAGCATGTTTTAGTGTCCAGCTATCAATGTATGTTGTAAATTTGGAGACAGGATGGCACAGCTGAATGAAACAAACTACTGATGATTTAAATTAATAATGTACATTTAACTGGGGGGCTAAATAACATTTAGCGTTTAACATTTAACATAAAACTGGCCTAGCGATGCCCCTGCAAACTCATATTACAGAAGCAAATCTTATCTTACAACATTTTATCTCATGGCTACTACTGAGGTGATTGTTTCAAATACTGAAGAGAAATATGAAAACAAAGAATATAAAGAGCTGCCAATAATGTTATTCCTGTCTCTTTCACTCATTCACACTCTCACTATCTGTGAAGTGTTCTAAAATGATTCAAATAGTTGGCTAATGTTAATGCTATATCACCTACACCCTTTTGTTTACCTCACATAACTAAGGTAGCTAGCGTTAGCTAACAAGAAGCCAGTAAAACTCAATAGGCAGCTATATTTAGCATCATTTTAGCAGCATGTTTTAGTGCATTGGTGTTCTTGGAGACATGATGGCACAGCCGAATGAAAAAACTACCGATGATTTGAACTAATAATGTACATTTAACTGGGGGCTAAATAACATGTAGCATTTAACATTTAACATAAAAGTGGCCTAGCGATGCCCCTGCAAATTCATATTACAGAAGTAAATCTTATCTTACAGCATTTTATCTCAGTCTTAACATACTCAGTCGAAGGCGACAATCAACTGTCATGTCTGTTAGCAAGCAGCTGTCCACACACGCACAGCAGAAACATAAAGATGTAATCAAAATAAGGTTAAAAATGTAAGTTAGTTAGCTAGACAGCTACAGTTACTGATGTAAAAGAGGTTAAAACAAAACCAAAGTGCAATAAACTGGAAGTTATGAATATTGTGACATTGTCTGCTGTTTATCAGAGCATCAACGCTCCCCAGTTTCAGTTTACAAATGCATTAGCTGGTCTGCGAGCCGCATTAAAATTATTCCTCCTAATAAACAGCCATGTGTTCAGCTCTGCCTCCTTATTATTCATCACCATCTGTGGTAATATAGATAAATGTAACATCATTATGGGTCATTCTACAAAAACGTCCACTTTTCTATCTCTCCATGGGTGTCACTGGTGTTACCGATCCTCATTGGTGTTACACATAAAAAAGGTAACACCAGAGACATTTTAATGAAAAATGCATTATACAAAATGGCTGCTACAGAGCATCAAACCACATGTTGTCAGTCATGGAATGTCCACTAAAATATGTAATTTAATCCATTTGTATTCTATTTTTCCACAATTACCTAAGAGTAAAGTGGGTCACACCAGTGACGTCAACTAAGAGCTTCATATGAAATCATGAGCTAAATGAGAACATTTCTGATAACTGAAAGACACAGTGGACTCACCATGTGCTTTTTTCATAGATCCTTTAGAAAATAGGTAAAAAGAAGTCAAGTGATGTCATCAGTGTGATTTTTATTTCAAAATAAGAGATTTTTTGTTTCGCAGTAACACCAGTGACACGACTCCTGGGGAACTTTTATTATATATTTTATAATATTTATTTGGCATTTGTTTTCTTTAGGTCATTTAATGTATATATTCCACAGTCATGTATAGAATATTGTAATTAAAATAGCAGAAAAACATATTTTTTACTTCAAAATATGGCCTCACCCTGTGACATGACTGTGGGGACGAGATCTTCTGTGGTACTTGGAATTCTAGATGAGTGATTTAAAAACTAATATTGCTAAACTGCTCAAGAAGGTCTAATTGTTAAAATACCTTATTGTGTTATTTTAAAATATAAATAAATTGTAACCCTGACATGTTTTTTTTAAGTGTAATCTATCTGTAAACACTAGGGACACAACAATGGACGTTTCTGTAGAATGACCCTTAAGCCAGTTATAGGGAACCAAACTGCGTGTTAAAAATGATAGAAATGGACGATTAAAGCAGACAATTAGGGACACCACTGGGGCTGTCCTAAAGCTAGGACAGTATTTAGGACTTTCTGTCTAGCTAGGACGTTTCTGTAATACTGCTTTCCTATGTGGAGTTAGGATAAGATAATAAACATAAGAGCTGTTATTATGTAATAGCTACTGTCCTAAATCCAGTCCTAACTGAAGTTGTCATGGTGACTAAACAGATAAGACTTCAGAGTTAGGCTGTTTCTGTAACACTGCCCCAGATCTCCAATTTAGCATGCAGCTTTTTCACTGGCAAGCATGCTTATATTTTATTAAGACTAATACCAGCCTTACACTGCAGTTCTTCAGCTCAGTTCTGTTCCTGACCATACAGACGAGTCAACACTGCTTCTGCAGGAATCAAACACTGGGCCGTGCGTGTGCTGAGTGAGAATGAGCTCCTGCAGCCCAGAAAAACTGAATCAGGATTGACACTCTCGCTCTTAGATATGTGATAGTGTGAGAATCTGAACTCCATTTCATCTGTAATGCCTCTAAACAAGTTTCTACAAAAGACAGCTCTTGTTTACATGATTTTCCAGCAGAGACTAAAAAAGGCTTTTCATTGGTGATTCATCAGCACTGCAATTTAGTCCAAGACTAGGCTTAATGAGGCCACTGATCCAATTCGTCCAAAAGTATCCAGACACCTGCTTGACCACCATTTCTTCTGAAATCAAGGGTATTAAGAAGAAGCTCAACAGCATCTACTCTTCTGGGAGGGCTTTACACTAGATGCTGGAACACTGCTGTGAGGACTTGATTGCATTCAGGCACAAGAGCATTAGCGAGGTCTTGGGCAGTTAGGCTTGGTTGGAAAATAGTACTCCAACTCATCCCCAAGCAAAGATGTTCACAAGTCTAAAGTTGTGAACTTTAGTTAACTGTAATAATGTTATTAGCTTTAGGCCTTACTTTGCACCCTATAAAACAAACACAGTGCAAGCTAGCCAGGCTACACGCTATCCAAACTATGGGCTAATCAGTCTTTCTGGGTGTGTTTTAAGGTGTCATAAAATTTGAGGTTGTTTTGCCAGTTTTGATGCATTTACTGCACACCGTGCTTTGATTATGTCCATCAGATTGAAGGTTTTTGTAAAAGATGTATCTAAAGCCACATACTGAGCCTGACACTGCTGTAAGAGAATGCTGCGATAAATGACGGTCATTAAAGTGACAGACAAAGTCGCACACAGAACATAAGAAATAAGAAAATGTTTCATTCATTTACTGCATAACTTGAGGCTACTGGGTGGTCTTAACTGTTTTTGTTCATGGTTTTTTCCCCCCAGGCTTTAATTTAGAGTCTGTCAACATTAGACTCAGGTGCAACTGAGCTCATTCTATCATTCTAAAGGTATCAGATGGAGCTCCAATACTCCAGAGAATACAGTTCCATTGCTCTACAGCCCAATGCTGGGGGGCTTTATATGCCACTATACTCCACAGCTGATGCTTGGTATTAGGGATGGTGACATTAAGCTCATGTGCAGCCACTCCACAGCATCTCATTCTATTAGTCAATGCTTTCTCTCAGTCCATTAGTCAACGCTTTTCTATGGAGATTATACAAGTATGATCAATGACCATGACCACGAGCAATGGGTGCACCTTAAAGTAGCTGAAATCAGTCATTTAAAGGGGCAAATAACATGTTTGGTTGGTCTTCAAAGTGAAAGTAGGTTCACATCCTCTACAAAGAACAAACATCTGCACATTGTAATGCACAATTAACATATTGGGAAAAAACAAAACATAAAATGCAGCTCGTGCAAAAGTTATGGCACGTTTTATATTTTATATATTTTTTCACGTATATTAAACTCAGCAAATAAATAGAAATTGTGCTCTGAAATTTGCAGAAAATGTCCATATTTAAGTGTGTTCCCTGTTCCTTTGTAGAAAATCAACAAAACATGTAACATGTAAAACATTTGACCAGGGTGTTTAAACTTTCGCACATCACTGCATGACTTGGTCACACGTTATTTGGATAGTCCCCTACAGATAATCTAAATATACTTATATCACTAGCAAATTTTTTGGTGATACTCAATTGATTATCAGTAACATTGAGGAAGTGGACAGATTTAATAGAATCTTTCCTGTGTAATTTCAAATTCAGTTGAATCTAAAGATATTTAGTCCAAAATTAGTTAAAAATAGACTAAGCATCTACAGTGGACCATCCAAATAAAGTGTAACCCATGATTTATTTGCTTTTTAATGGTCCGAACTGCTATTGTAAATCTGTAAATGAAAAATCAGTTGTCTATTTAAATTAAATAAAATCAAAGTGCTACACTGGACGTACGAGGGAACTGGCTATTTAGCACAGCTCATGGGTAATTAAGCTACCACATTTTAGTATTAGTGTAGTATCAACAAACTTACTTGCCCTATATGTGTAAAATCGCAACACACATTGGCCAAAATCGACATAATGAATTGTCCAACTGCCAGTTTCATGTTTGGAGCAAAAATCTGTGGATTCCCTGCACTTTTCAGTTACATAAGAAATATTTCACTACCATAAAGCAGCTATGTTCTAATATTTTGGGTATATTTAGCTTCAACACTCAGCTTCATGTTCATCAAACTGCAGACTGTGTTGAGTTTTCTTCTTAATTGTTAACTCTTTTGGCCCACCTGAATGGTTTGAGCACTGATTAGTGCTGACATAACAACAAGAGGCTCAAATGTGTTAGGTCTGGTATTGTCATAGAACCTATGTGTGAAACACAAGGCCTGTGGGTCAGATCAGGCCCTCTAAATTATTTTATTTTTCTATTAATATTAGCCCATTTCCCAATGCACTGCACTACAATTCTCAGCAGGCCAACCAAAATAAACACCTGGCTAACTAAAAAAAAACTCAGCTAGCTAAAAAAATAAGCAAAACAAAATTGGACAGTGAACGCAGGGGTTTTTGAGACAGGTGGGAGCTCAAATACTTTTTTATATGGCCCTTTAGTGAGTTTGACACCCCTGATCTAGAAGGTGGAGCTTTTGTCAGCTGTTCAGTTTTGCTGCTTTCCAAAGAAAATGGGTAGATCTAAATAGCTTTTTCTCAGGCAGTATACATGGACCACCTTTGTGGAATCTTTTGTATATAGACACAGTGATAGACATACCTCCTCCAGAGCATCCGAGACTTTAATGAGAATGTCGTCAGGCAGGGCACAGAGCAACGGCACACTGAAGAGAAAGAAAAACAAATGAGTGTGGGTCTTCTAGCACATCAGTGCTATGCCTGAAAAGCTGCCTCAGTCAGTTTGGTGAGTGGGTCTGCCCCACTGCGTAATGTCCATCACTGTCTCTTAGACGAGGAAAATTGCGTTTGAGCAGGATTATGGAGGTACGAGGGAAAATTACACATTGTTGAAAGGAAAATCACGTTTCTCAGTGAATGGGTTGTTCCAAGGCCTAGCATTGTGTGCGTTTCTATAGGAATGGTAACTATGGTTATGACCTGCGGAGAACATCCAGATTCTGAGTGATTCTCAGAAGGCCGCTCCTCTGCATGATTCTCTGAAACATCTGACGCTCAATCACCCACAATTTACTACTCGTCAGGGCTGGAGAGAGAGAGAGAGAGAGAGAGAGAGAGAGAGAGAGAGAGAGAGAGAGAGAGACAACCAAATCAACTGAATGGACATGAATGCTGTCTTGTCATTACTTGAACACTGTCATCTGCAATCTTTTCAAAGAGCTACAAATAAGACAAGTAGGACTGTCGCAAAATAAGCATTATCAGGCCTTCTGCAGACGTTAGCAAATTCAGTGTCCTTTAAAGTCATTTTGAAGCTACTTTTAAAAAATGTGGAGACCTCTTGATGCTTTTGCAGCACTTGAAACTTGTAACAGACATTCAAGAAGCATATTCTTTACTTTGTATGTTGGTTTACAGTGAATTCTTCAGCAAAGCCTAACTGCATATTATTGAAGGAGCATGTTAGCCTGTTAGCTGTCTCTCTGCTGTTCAGCCTAGACCTAGCTAAGCAAAACCTTTTACTTCACACTCACTTTGTACACAACATTTATACCAGTAAACATTATTTTATCACTTACATGAAAATTGTGACTATAAACATACATATATTCTTGAGATCCTGCTGGTGTGGGTTTCCTCTCTTTCAGTGATGAACCAATTGAGGGGCTAACAGCTCCCCTTGTGGAAAATCTGCTAAACACAGCTAAGCTGTTATATGATATCTGCAATATTGCATCAGCATTGCATGAACAGCGTTGACAAACAGAGCTTTGATGTAAAGAATAACACTGAAAGAAATCGGTGCCAAAATTAGTTCTTTGATGCCATAATAAATGGTAGAACCATAGTAAAGGTACACCAATTAAAGTCTTTTTTCCCAGAACTAACTCCAAGCCAAGAACCATTCATTTGTAATAGGTAATTCCAACAATTCTTGAACAATTCAGCAAAGTGACATATTTAAGATGAATATGAGTCTGAAGAACCTTCTCAAAGTTTAAAGAACTTCCACTTATCCTAACCCTAACCTAAACCTCAACCCAAAACCTAATCCTAACCCTCACCCTGGCCCTAATCCTAACTCTCACCTTAACCAAAACTTAATACTTAAATACTTAATCCAGTGAAGCTGCAGTTGCAGAGTGTTCAGCAGTGTGTCTATAACAGCTTGTTGAGGATGTGGAGATGGTCAGTATTAAACCTGTTACGTGTTCAGTACCTCTCAGATTAACATCTACAGATATGAACTTGGACCCTCCAAATAAAGTGAAAAACAACTGAATTGAGTGGATTATAAACCAGTTTTATTCACGCAGTTAATTAAAAGTCCCTTGATAACATACTGGATGTATTCACTGCTACATCATTGATATGTTGTTGATGTTACTGAAAGTCTGTTGATTGTTTATTTCATCTAAAACGAACCACTCAAAACACAGAGCCGAAACAGTTCCAACATTGTACCTAAAACGTATTTAACCCTATTTCAGCATTATGAACATTAAAAGAAAGCTCAGTCGTCTGTGTGAACAAATGGCTATATTTGTGTTGTAGACATGGTGACTCCTGGTTCCTATCACCACCACAGTCAAGAAACCTGAGTGAGATCTTTGCAATGCATCATTACACATCAACTCGGAATGACTTTGCTTACATCATGACGACCGAATTGAGCAGAAATGTCAGTGCAGTTCCCCTTTAAGATCATCCATAACTAACACACAGAGTGAACAGGTAAGTCAACTCCACATTAAAGTTCTCGGCCACGTTTGGGACACTGCAGATGCTGTGAATGAATGAAGTGGCCCTGGCCCACAGAGAGTAACCTCTCACTGCCCAGCTGCCTGCTGACCTGTTTCTGCCACGACTCCATTTCTGTCAAAACACAGAAAGGAAAGCTGAGAATAGAGTGTTCCTTCTCTTCCTCCCCCTCCCCCACCCCCCCGTCTTCTCTTCCAGACTTCTTTTTGAATTAATAATGATACATTTTAATTGAGTCTAATGACTCCAGCAGAAGAAATAGCTGCAGTCCTCTCTTTCCTCCCCATAAGACATGTTCTCTGTGGATGTGTTTAATGTTCAGCTAGTCTGTAGGTTTCCTCCTCAGTAATTATGCTCATTCGGAATGCCAGCGGACCACTGGAACAGCACACAGTCCATAACCTAATTGTCATTTTAGACGCTGTGGGACTGACATTTTCAAATGGCAATTTAGGGATTTTCATAATCTAAACTTCATTAAGGAAGAAACCTACCTGTTTGAATTCCTTCGACCGGGAATTATCTGAAATCAGCGGTGGTCAAAACGCAGCAGATGTGAATGCTAATTAAACGTCTCTAGTGTTCATAGCCTTATTCAACATACAGGCAAATCTGAAGGCAAAACTCCCAAAGTTCCCAAATACATGTATTCATACACATACATGTACAACCCCATTTCCAGAAAAGTTGGGACGCTGTGCAAAATGTACATTAAAACAAAATGGAATGATGTGCAAATCATTTAAACCCTATATTTATTTGACATACTACAAAGACAACATATCAAATGTTGACACTGAGAAATGTTATTGTTTTTTGAAAAATGTATGCCCATTTTGAATGTGATGAAAGCAACACGTTCCAAAAAGTTTCTGTCACTGAAAACATATGGCACTTAATGAAACAAGAAATACGACAAAAGAGACCCTGAACTGTTGAGCAGCTGAAATCCTATATCAAACAAGAACGGGAAACAATATTTCACTGTAAAAACTAAAGCAGTTGATCTCCTCAGCTCCCAAACGCTTACAGAGTGTTGTTAAAAGAAGAGGTGATGCAACACAGTGGTAAACCTGCCCCCGTCCCAACTTTTTTGGAACGTGTTGCTGCCATCAAATTCAAAATGGGCAAATATTTTTCAATAAAATTTCTAATTTTTAGCATTTAATATGTTGTCTTTGTACCTTTTTCAAATAAATATGGGTTTTAATGATTTGCACATCATTGCATTTTGTTTTCATTTACATTTTGCACAGTGTCCCAACTTTTTTGGAAATGGGGTTGTATTTTAAAAAGCTGAAAATGCTTGATTTGCAGTTAAATGATCATCAATAATATCAGTTATAAAAGTAAATACAGAAAAAAACGGGATAATACTGATATTTGTGCACATCAATCCTTGTACCTAAGCGAATGTACTTAATTTCTTACTTTTACTTGCACATCATGCGTCTCTCCGGAACTGCAGCCGAATCGGCCGCTTCGGACTGCACTTCCTAGAACCCCTCGCTCACTCATGTGACTCAGGATGACTCTCCAGACTTCTAATCATCTCCACCTATTCTTATGTGTGTTTAACCTCTATATTTCTCATGGCGAAGTATCGTCACCGTTTGCTGTGCATGCCGAGCTTTTCTCTATGTTAGTACGTCTCTTTCTGTGTATGACTCGTTTTCGCCTTGTCCTTTTGCTCTGTTTTGGATCTTCAGTTTTCAAAGTTATCTTTCTGGTTTACGAGTTTGTTTTTGGTTCACCCCTTTATTAATAAAGCTCTTAAAACTTGCCTCGTCTGCGAGCGTCTGGTTCCGTCTGCCGCCGTTACAGCACACTGATATCTATAAATGCTGTGGGACTATTACTGTTCCTCATAAAGGTGCAATTTGTAAGATTTTTAGTTTAAAACGTTCCAAAATTAACCGAAATGATCAACAAAATGTGAAGAAATAACAGTTTTGATGTTATGTCATTGTATCATGTTGCAGAGATACCTACTGAAGTTAGCATGCTAATCAGCTAGCCCTGGTGTGTCCTGTCTCGTAATACCAGTTTGTACCTCGAGATAGTGAGTCACTGTAGCATCAAGTAAACGCAATGATGGCTGAAGCTCTTGGCAAGCTACCATTATCACCACCGCCACTCGCTCCTGGCAAGGAATTATGTTCGGCAGCAACGTTTCTTCTAGGCTGGTAAGTAAACAACTGTCAATACTAGCAATTGTTAATTAGCAATAGCAGTTTAGCGAGGAGACAAATGGGAGGACGCACTGTGCATTTCCTTGTTTCTTATGATAAGGGGTGGGCACTACAACTTTCTGGTGATATGTTACGCCACTATTTATTTGGAGTGTAGAGTATGAATTTGACAGGTTGCTTTATCTTAACTATTGCTTCCTTAAAGACTTCTGCATTTGGCCAGTAGCTACACCAACTATTAGGACAACCACTGGCTCATGAGCCTGTTGAATACTTATTTTTTATTAGGTCATATATGAGGTCAAACTGGGGCATGTTCTTTGCAAATGATATGTAAATAGGGCACCAGTGCACAGGCGCTTGATTTCGCACACTGAAGCTGATTAATCCTTTAAGGTCATGGCAAAAAAGTGGCTTTTTTGGCAGTTTATCTTTACTTTTCCATTATTAATGAGATTTCCAAACACTGTAGGTGCATTTATATGAAATGTACAGAGTGTGATCTAACAAAGCCGTTTTTTTTTTCAGTTTGTTTCACAAGCTATCCTTTTTCCTGAGCCTGCTTTGAATGAGCTCATCCATTCACTGGCAAAAATAACATGGTGTATCCAACAATGAAGGGAGACTCCTGCATCTTTTACGCAGTGATCACAGGAGCACATGGAAAGCTCTGGTTCAACAAGCTGAAACTAATCAAACGATTCCAACAGGGACATGCTTGCTGCTTATTTTATATGGTGGCAGATTTAAATGACTGGCCTTCTTTTCTTGGGCCCATTAGCAGGCCTGTTGCATTCATGTGGTTAAGGATTCTGAAGTAGCCTACGCGATTTCAGTCACTTTTTGACATAGTTATGATTTTAGCAATGCGCTATCTACACATTTCCATGTTTATTGATAACAGTGTGCCATACTGTATTAGAAACCACATAAACAACACTATTTAAAATTTCTTAACTCAACATGGTTTCAGGCAAATGTGTGGTGTTTAGATAGGCTGTTTGCACAATGCTAATTAATTTAAGTTCGCTTTCCTTACTTGTTAGCTACATTAGCCTTGAAGCTTCAGTGTAAAACAAGAGAACTCCAACACCAACGTCAGTGCAGCAGCGTGAACTTTCGGGAGTGCCTA